CATTATTTGCAGCAGATTCATTATTTGTAGCACAACCAACAGCAACAATATTAACTGTGCATTTCTGTTTTGTGTTTTTATAATAAATTACCTTTTTAATGCATTATGTACCTTCACCTTCCTTTCCTTTTTCTATTTTAGGTTTCTTTATTCGGTGGTACCTACATGTAGATGTGAATTTACATGTAGGGTTAGTAATACTATATACCATCTCACTTTTCTAAGCTTTCCTTTTCATTGTGCCACGCTTTGTAGTCTGACTCATTCTTCATACTCTCAGCTGACTGTTTCTCCATATTCTTGGCTGACTCTTTCTCCAAATTCTCTGCTGACTCTTTCTCAATCTTAATAATATCACCTGCTGCATTACTTACATCTTTCTTATCTCCTAGAAAATTATATGTGCAGCTATTGACTAAAAATTAAAGTACAGTGTTACCAAAGGTGACTATTGTGCCATCATGAAAGTCCTTTCCATCCCTTACTCTGCAGGAGGTACCAGCTTCCAGCTGCTCAACTTCTACACAGTTTGCTTTCACAATAGAATAAGTATCGTCTTGCTTAAAGTATTTCAAAAAGTAAGAAGCTACATTTAAAATAGTAACAAGACTCCTAAACATGTCTTTAACTTACGATTTGTCTTCTTCTGGGTGTCTTTTATCAGCTTTCTAAGACTCATTTCTACTCGTTTCCACTGAGTTGTAACCGGGCTGGTGAAAATTAATGCGCATGCGCAGTATTGAGTAGCGCATGCGCAGCACATCAGTAGAGTAGAGTAGCACAGGAGTAAAGAAAGCAAAGCTGCTCGTTACTACTACCGTTTTGATTCGCATGAGCTGTGTAGGAAGAAAAGTGCAGTTCGTAGGAACTACTCTTCGCTACTTAGCTTTTTTTCTCTCTAAACTGTACCTACGCAACAGTAGAGTAGCTACTTATCTTTTTTCGCCCTGTACTGTATATAAATGAAAGCCTATTAGGGGCTCTCTCACATGCAGGATCATTGCCATATAACACTGCATTAGGATTAAATTTAAAACTGC